GGGAGTGATTAAAGTCAGCTATCCAGAGAACACCTTTGCATAGGCAAAGCGTCCATCCTTCAAGTCCTTAGTGTTTGATTTCTCTTGATTTGAACAGGTTACAACTGTTACAAGAACATAAGAATCCAGGGGGTTTAGGTACCTGCAAATGTTTCAGATTGAGTTATTGATTAGCTCTGATGTAACTGATTTGAACCCGCAATATGATGACTTGAGGAATTAAGGTGAAATCAGTGGTTCTAAGACTAGAAAAATAATACAAATAATCCACCTCTTGGATTTGTCATGGTGGGTGGATATCAAACATATTTTATGTACTGCATTTTGTTACCAACTTGACCAAAAGAGACGATCTTTTATGAACAATTTGTCCATTGCACTACGATTTTATGCAATTCTTCTGTTGTGTTGCTGCTGGTCACTACAGCTGTTAGGAGCTGAGAGATGTTATGTGTTCAGAGAACTTGGCACTATCTGTCATGTTCAGATATATTTAACTGTTCTTAAAATCCTGTGCCAACATTTTTTTTGTTGTTCAGTATCCGTTAGGGGATCTCCCTCTGATGAAATTTAGCAGTATTTTCAAACCCATTTTGGCTGCTCAAACTCACTGTGAGCAATAATCATGCATTTTTTGTGGCTTTAAAAGAAAAACTGCATGTACACAGACACTGGACCTCTAAAACAAAATTCTGCATTCAATACAAGTTAAGCTGATTAGACAGCACTTGCGGCATAATATTGATTGAATAACACAAAAATAATTTTGACAATACAAAAAAAATAAAAAACGCGCTGACGCAATGGAAGTGAAATGGGACCAATTCATAAATGTTAAAATACTCAGTCTTCCGATAGTATAAGAGCAAGATGTAAATAATATGAGATTTTATATGTGACAAAATTATACTACCATTAAGAAGTTTGGGGTCAGTAAGATTTTAATGTATCGGAAAGAAGTGTCTTATGCTCACAAAGGCTGGATTTATTTGATCAAAAATACAGTAAGATAAGTAATATTATAACATATATTATTACAATTTAAAAATAATGTTTCTATTTGACTGTATGTTAAAATGTAATTTATTCCTGTGATCAAAGCTGAATTTTCAGCATCATAACTCCAGTCTTCAGTGTCACATGATTCTTCAGAAATCCTTCTAATATGCTGATTTGCTGCTCAAGAAACTTTTATTATTATCAATGCTGGAAACAGTTGTGTTGCTTAATATTTATGTGGAAACTGATACATTTTATTTGAATGTTTCTGTAATGAATTGAAAGCTCAAAAGTTCATTTGAAATATAATTTATTGTAATAATGAATAATGGGAGTGAATGAGCAGCACTCTCTTCCACCTTCAATACCACGACTGAGGTGAGACCCTTGAGCAATTAGACAGATTTGTGAACAATATTTGAGAAAACCGGGTGTGTGTTCAGGGTGTGTTTGTGCACTTGGAGGGGTTAAATGCAGAGCACAAATTCCAAGTATGAGGCACCATACTTTGCTACATGTCAAGTCACTCACTAATTTGCCTAAACACCTAAAACAACTTGACAGTTGTACAGAAGGATTAATGTAAGTGCATTTATACAATTATAAGCTTCACATTTATACTTTTAAATACTCCAAAAATTGGCCCCAATCACTTCCATTCTAAGAGCCTTACTGTAACCTTAGTTTTTGGTTTAAAGAAAACAAGTATAAAATATATATATTTTGTGGCCACAAATGCTGTGTAATTGATCTGAACTTAAACTGAACCTGAAATATTTATTTAATTTTTCTCCCTGATCAGTAATATTGACACTTGGTGAATGGGAAATGACATGTGCATGATTGTATTTGGATTCTTTTGTACTCCGAAACAGTGTTTTGTTAGTCTGTTACTGACAGGGCACAGTGGAAGTGTTACGCCATGTGTCTAGTGCTCCTTCCTGTGTGTAGAATGTAAACGCCCCACTGCTACCCGCCTAAATCCACAACTCGCCACAACCTTGCTAGTATTGCTGTAGCTTACATTTACAGTAGTTCTGTATTTTGTCAAGACAAATGGAGATAACTATACTATCTAAACTTGTTCTGAATGTGACAAGTCAGTGAAGTCCTTGTACATAGGAAGCTGAGCACACAAAGTCTGTAGTTCAAGTTGGAATATGGCTTGGGTCTTTTTAAAACAATAATTTCTCAATAAAATGCAAAAATATTCTTTGCCCTTTGACTGTGTGATGCTTCGTGCCAGCTTGATTTGAATTGTCTTTTTTTTTTAATCGCAAATATGTTATTTTGCATTTCACAAAAGCCTGATTTTCTTTCATTTGGCACAATGTGTCATTTGGACGAATAAGGCGCGCTTTGCTTTGTAACAAGTGGCATCATTAGTATTTTTGATTAGAATATTCTTGTCTCTACTGTCACACAGGCTTGTTAATGAAAGATTCAGGAATGCTCTGTGTGTCTGTTTAATGCAGGCACATGATATAGTTCAGTAAGAAGCCCACAGCACAGCGTCTCTCAAAGGTCAGGCTGTCATTAGAGTGAACGTCACCTGTAGCAGCAGACAACAGGGGCCCGCAAGTGGCTTGATATTCACACAAACGGGAAGAACAGGAAGCTTGTAAGATGCTTTTGCCATTGTGTCATTATTTTCAGGACAGTTAAGCACATTTCCCTTCATATTCTGGTTACTGTACTGTCTCGTTACTTACCTTTCATTCTTATTACTGTAAAACAGTAATGAAAGTCATTTTGTATTTTACTTCACAATTTAAATGTGAAGTATTTCCTATAGTGATGAGAATTAGAGAGGGGGCAGGAATTTGATTAATTGGCATGCAAATAATGTCAATGCAATGTATCTTAATGGACCTCATTTTCATTATATAATTATAACATTTAATTAAATTATAATATAATAGTTAATAGTAATATAATAGTTAAATTATAAATTATATCTATTATTTTTCTTTTAGGTTTGGGAAGTGGTATTTTAGTATCATTGATATACTACTATAGTTTTTTAATATTTTGAATTAGATAATATTTTCATGTTTTATATATGTTCTGTTTTCATTTTAAATTTTTGTAATTTTGTTGTGTGCTTTTGTTTTTATTATATTTTGTTTTCTTAATATGTCTATAGTTTTTAAGTTTTACTTTAAAGTACTAAAATAACTAAAACTAAATAAAGTAAAACAAAAATGCGTTCTGTTGCCTTGCCAAATAAAAATAATTTATTTGTTAAATAAAATTTAATGTTTATTTTATTTCAAGTAATGAAAGTGTTTTATTATGGTTTTGGTTTAAAGATCTGTATATATATATATATATATATATATATATATATAAACCTGATCAAAAAAAAAGGTTTGACCATTTTTGGAAGAAAAAAACTCATAAGAGTATATACTAAACATAGAGTATGGTAAGGGGTGTAACATTTCCATCACACGCTAGCGGTATTCAGCCAATCACAACACACTGTATGGCTGGCCAATCAGAGCACACCTCGCTTTTTCAGAACGATGAGCTTTGTAAAAATCGACATGTTTCAGAAAGGCGGGGCATAGAGAAGCAACAATAATGTACATTATATGGGAAATAATGTGGTTTTTTTTACCTTAAACCATATAAACACATTGAATTACACCAAATACACAAAATAATGTTCTTTTTAGCAACATCATATGACCCCTTTAACCACTTGATACTACCTCCAAAAACATAAGATGAAAATTGTGGTTGGGTCACATTAATTTAATATGTTTATTCACAGCTGACAAACTACATAAAATACAACAGCAGAAGTATATCTTTTCAAAGAAATGGTCATGTCAGGAACTCTTGATATGTTCAGGAATGATCACAAGAACTGCTACGAGAGGAGACACAGACCTGTGCTACAGACAGACTGACAGCACTCAACACTGTACTCTCACGGCACAGATGAACACTTATCTTATGCAACTCTGATGGGATTGGAGTGCTATCATCAGAACAAAGATCTCGTTGCTTTATTTGATATCCTCTACAGTTTACACTACTCGTAT